TTATCAGAAGATTTTTTTTCATCTGTTAATAAATTTGTCACCATATTCTCTAGTGCATATCTCTACTTTACACTTTTTCTCTTTATAATTGTTTTCGAATGTTTAATATATATTATGTAAGATTTGGGTGTGCGTAATTGAAATCAGCATGATACTAGGTAAAGTGTATTCATCTTCAATTATCCAATTTTGTCCTTCACCAGACAATCGTCCTATTTGCTTTGGTATATCACCCGTCCCCATCCTGTATGGTAGCTAGCAAATTACTGGTTTTATAATCTCAAAGTGTATTTTCATTTTCCTTCCTCTCTATTCTGTATACCACAATGACTGAAATCACACAGGGTTTTTCTCTAGCTTATTTCTAAGCATCATATCTTTGGTCCAATTTGTTGCAAATTGTAGGCTTTTGTCTCTTAAAACAACTAAATAGTCATGTGAATGTATTACATCTTTATTCATTTGTCAGTCTGTCAACGTAGGTTATTTCTCTTGACATTGGAAATATTGCTGCAGCAAATACAGGGGTGATTGTCACTCTTCAATATTTTGGTATTTTGAGAAATCTCCATTTTGTTTTTCCATAAAGTCCAAAGCATCTTATATTCCTGCATGAGTTTTGCCTTCTCTTTGCCTCTTCTCCAACGCTGGTTTCTTGTCTTGGATGACAGCCATTCTACAGGTGTGAGGTGATGGAATATTTCTATTTCATTTCCCTAATAGTAAGTAATAAACATCTGTTCGTGTGTGTCTTAGGTAAAGTGTATTCATCTTCAGTTATCCATTTTTTTAAAAAAAGTTCAGTTTTTCATCAGTAAGCTTTATGGTTTCTTTGTACATTGAAAGTATCAATCCTTCATCTCAAAATATGACATGCCATATCTTATCCTCTCTTCGTTTTGGAGGACTGTAAGGGGGTTGACCACACCCAGTGTTGCTCAGGGACAACTCCTAGCTCTGCATAAGTTTTTCTCAGGGCAGAGCTCCAGGAATCGAATGGATTTTGGGGTTTAAGTTGGTATTGACCGCATGCATACAAGGCCGTCCATTTAAACCCCTCTGCCTCCATCCAGCACGAGTGTCTTCATTTTTATGCACGTTTCTTTCATATATTTTGCTTGGTGGTATGTCCAGTTATCTTGCCTTTTCCTCCCCTTTCCATTGGAGTTGAGTCACCAAATACATCTCTAAGTGTGGTACCAAGGAGTGATACAGATCCCTTATTTCCGTTTATTTTATGGTTTCAGATCTTACGTGTTAATACTACCATAAGCTGTTAGATATTACAGTTTCAGTCTTCCCCAGCATCATTTATTGAAGACTCTTTCCTTGTTCCATTTAAGCTCTTAACTTCTTTGTCATAACTAGGTGTCCTTTCATGTTTATATCTGAGCTCTGTTCTGTTCCATTGATTTGTGGGTCTGTCTCTGTTTATCCCAGTATTGTGCCATTTTAATCACTATCATTTTGGTAGGTATAAAGTTAGGGAGCATGAGCCTCTATAATCATTTTTTTCTCAGGAGTGTGTTTCTTATTCAGGGTCTTATGTAGATCCAAATACCATATTTTTCAGCTTTTTTTTTAAATGAATGGTTGAGATTTCATTGAACCTACATCATTTTCAATAATATGGCCACGTTGTTGTTACTTCGGTTCATGAGCACAGAATATGTTTCCATCTCTTTGTAGGTCCTTTCTTCTTTCAACCGTATCCTAGAGTTTCAGCATTCAGGTCTTTGATTTTATTCCAAGATATTCAGTTATTTTGATGCGATTGTAAATGGGATTTTTGTTATTCATTAACCATGTTCAGAAAAACAAAATATTTGGGGGAGGCCATTAGAATTAGTACTGTATATGGCATCTAGTTATTATTTCTCTAACCCTTCTTCAGACCATGCTAAAAGTTTAACTTCATCTGGCTTTTTATTTGTTTTGAAGACTGGAAAGGAATAACGGTAGAATAGCAAGTACTGAATGATGTTTCCCAGTCGCCAAGAAACTTTTCTGTTTTTCCTCTTTCCTTACTCATTTCTTCAGTCTCACATATTGCCCTTGTTTCTTTGTGCTGCTTCTGCTTATTCTTCCTAACCTAGAGTAGGTACTTGTTTTTTTTATTAAAAAAATTTTTTAATAGTGAAACATGAGGTACAGTTGCAGACTTACACATTTTTGTACTTGGGTTTCAATTATACAATGATCAAATACCATCCCTCCACCGGTGCCCATTTCCCACCACCACGGATCCCAGTATCCCTCCCACCCTCCCATCACCCCCATCCCACCCTGCCTCTGTGGCAGGGCATTCCCTTTTGTTCTCTCTCTCCTTTTGGGTGTGGTTTTCAAAAGAAGCAATGGGTGATAGTCATGTTTGGTCTATAGTCTACTTTCAGCACGCTTCTCCCATCCTGGGAGGATCCTCCCAACACCCTTTATTTGGTGTTCCCCTCTTTATCTGAGCTCCCTTTTCCCCTCGTATGTGTGGTTGGCCTCCAAGTCATGGAGTAAAATTAGGTATTTGTTTTTAACTGAAGCAATATGGACTAGATTTTAATTTGCTAATGTGTATCTTGGGGTGGGGGAGGTGTCTTAATCCTTTATTTCAAAGTGCTGTTTAGTCACTCTCCCTAGGTGGTTCCATTTCTGGCATAATGGTGCTTATTTCCCCTTATCTTTGTATTTAGATTTGGGGGAGGATTTCAAGTGCCTCAGGAAGGTGTTTGTTTTGAGCGTCTTCTTCCTGGAACTAAACAGTGTTCTGCTTCTGCTAAGAAGAGTCAGGAGTCCGAAAGGCCAAGACAAAAGAAAATGCTAGGAGAGCAAACAAGTACGAGCCGAATGCTTTTGAAATATTAATGAACAAGGCATAGGAGACGTGTACTCTGGCCATTAGTCCTCATTATTTTCGTTCTATTCATTCTCACAACCAGGCTGTAGTCGTTTGCCTTTTATTAGTGGAGAAGTAAAAGGTTGAAAGGTAAATGCTTAGCTCAAAGTGACACAGTCAGTAAAAAGTAGAGATTAGATTCTGCCCTTATTCTCTCAAACTTGAACCTCCTTGTTCTAAACATTTAACAGTTGTTTCTTGTTCCTCTGTTTGGGGACCACGTCCAGTGTTGCCCACTCCTGAAGGTGCTGGCAGTCCCTACATGCACTTATGCTTACTCTGAGCTCTCCAACCCTTAGGGAAATTTTGTTGTTTGCTAGCTTGCTTGATTTTTGGGTGGGTCACACCCAGCTGTTCTGGCTCAAGGATCACTCCTGGTGATGTTGGTGGGCTCCACCAGTGGCTTAGGTGAAGTGGGGAGGAGAAAGACGGTCACTTCCTCCAGATCCATCTCTGCCACCCCAGGACCCAGGGGTACTGGGTTCTTGTCTCGCCTCGCAGAGAAGAATTTCAGGAGTAGACAAGCAGCGAAGTAAAACAGACTTTATTTGGAGGTTTCTGAAGGGGAGGAGGGAGGAAAAAGTGGGAGAGTAGAGTAACGCGCCCAAGAGAGAGTGTGGGCTTTTCCAAGAGGAACAAGAGCGCCAACACAAAACCCAGCCTTGGATATGAAAGTACACATCTCAAGAGGGCAGATTCGGGCAGCACAGGTACTCAGGTGCCACGGTGCTTGGCCCTAGCAGTATATGTGCGGCCTTCCTTTGTTCAAGGTGACTTTTATAGGATTTTTTCAACCTGCCCCCATGTGGGGCTTCTACCTAGGTAAAAGTTCATTGCTAAGGGGTGGGGGGTGGGGTGGTAGGGAGGCTAGTAGGGGTTACCAGGGAGTAGTGATGTCTTCCTTGACATTCCTTTCTAGCCTTTTGTTTCTACTGGCGCTTCTCTGGGAGCCCGAGGAGGCGGTGGCGGGGTGTCCAGCCTTCTCTGGGTCTGTTGCTGGCCAGGTAAAAGACTTACCAGGCCTTAGTTACTGTTTTCTACAAGGTTGACTTTTGCCAACATTTCTTAAGGGCTATTACTTCCGGGAAGATTTACTGTCATTGCCTTGGGAAAGGGCTTTCCCTTTCTGCCTGCCTGCTTACATCACTGGCAGTCTCTGGGGACCGTATGAGGTCCTTGGAATGGAACCCGGGTCAGCCAAGGAAAAAATTTAAGGTTTCTCTAAGCATCTTATTTTTCCCCTTCCTGTTGTTGATGGCCAGCAACAGTTTAGCTGTGGTGCTCGTATTGCTTAGTCCTCACCAGGGGTCTTGCATCTGGTTGCCATGAGTCAGAGAACACACTTATTGTGGCTCTGGGGGTCCCAATGCCTGTGCCAACCGTGATGGAGCCCTGAGCGTGGGAGGTGATCTCCAGCCTCATGAGTTTGAACTCAGAGCCTCCAAGGTAGGCGCTCTATGAAGCTATCAACATGTAGAAAAATTTTTTTTCTCCATAACAAACTTTATAACCTTTCTTATTGGAGCAATAATTACATAGATTTTGTGTTTTGCAGAATGCTTAGGCTGCTGGCACTATAGTTTCATATTACAGGTTTCTGAGACAAGTAGTTTTCTGAGCACTCGAACCAGTGTAGCCTCGTGCTATGGGACAATGAATAAATATGGTGTCCAGTCCTTGCACACTGCCATTGCCTCACTTTGCATCCACTGGACAGACAGGGTTGTCCCAAGGGCTAAACATTGCATCTTAGTGCTAGAAAATCCAGCACGATGCCTGGCAAACTTTTTATAAATATTACATAGGTATTATATCATGCTAAGAAGCTGGTTTTTCAATGAGGTTCTGAGAATTTTTCACTGTTACTGGTATAAATCCTAAAGATATTTCATACCTGTGCTGTTGTTTGTGAAGAATGGCAACTATAGCTCTGTTATGCTTTTATTGAAAACGATGAGAGATAACCACTGCTGACTGAAGCAAGATGCCCAAATTGTGTATGAGAGGACAATTAAAAGAACAGACTCCAGATACCATTATTTGTTTTAAGCTTTTATTGTATGAGAATGTAGATCGCTGATTAAAACATTTCCTGTCTTCTTTTTTTTTCCAGAAAATGAATAATCTTTCATTTAGTGAGCTATGTTGTCTCTTCTGCTGTCCACCTTGTCCAGGAAAGATTGCTTCAAAATTAGCATTTTTGCCGCCTGACCCAACTTACACGCTGATGTGTGATGAAAGTGGAAGCCGCTGGACTTTGCACCTCTCAGAACGCGCAGACTGGCAGTACTCCTCCCGAGAGAAAGATGCAATTGAGTGTTTCATGACTAGAACCAATAAAGGCAACAGAATTGCCTGCATGTTTGTGCGTTGCTCGCCCAATGCCAAATACACTCTACTCTTCTCACACGGAAATGCTGTGGATCTTGGTCAGATGAGCAGTTTTTATATAGGCTTGGGATCACGGATTAATTGTAACATATTCTCCTATGATTATTCTGGATATGGTGCAAGTTCTGGGAAGCCCACAGAGAAGAACCTCTATGCGGACATAGAAGCTGCTTGGCTTGCTCTCAGGACAAGGTAAATGATGGCTGTAAAGTATTTTTCACAGGTGTGATGGTCTTTTCTGAGACTTCAATAAAGGCGATTTTGTGACACCCCTTGTATAGACCAATTTTACCACCGTATAATTATGAAAATAACAAAAGAAAATTTAAGGTAGTTCGTATTGCTGTGTGGCTTAGTATATATGATTTTTCTAAAAAATTTAAGCCACTAACAATTGTTTGATTTTTTTTCTATAAACTTCTTATAGAATATGATATAAAATCTTTACTCATAAAGTCATTTCAAGGGAGTGAAAGTAGTGATAGCTATTTACTTGGTTGATAACAATATAAGATATAAAAAAATATAAACTTAATTTTTTGTTCAAATTCTAAGCCAGTCTTTGTTATTTCAGGTAATTATCTCTTCGATGTTATTCAAGGATACCACATTTGAACTGTTTTTAAGAAAACATTGTACAGGGGGAATTTTTACTTTTTATTCTGGATTAAAATTCAAAATTTGTAGTGATGATCTCAAGTGGAAATAAGTAATGTTACAATAAATCATTAACTACATTCTCATACTATATCCCTAATTCTTTGATCATAACTGAACACTCTGGGGGGAACTAGAACGTGCATTGATCCTTTCTAGACACCCAAGTATGTGTAAATACTGCGATTTTTGTACATCAGTGTATTTTTCCATTGGACAGAATGATAAAGCAAGTCAAAAGATAAACTTGATGTAAGTTAGTCCTCGTGTATATTGATAATTTACCGGGCTTTTCAGAGTTTTTTTTTTTAGGTTGTCAGGAGAGAACATAAAATTTACGGCCTTTAGTTTAAAGACTCTTCAGTGTGCTAAGGAGAGCCTGGTGGTTCTTTTTAGGATGTATATCTCTTTTTCTCTCTTTTGCTTCTCCCTGCCTCCTCCTTTTCGGTGTTGTTACAGTGGCCAGTGCACATGCTCATTGGAGGTTGCATGACAGCCAGGGCCCCTGCACTCCCAGTTGCAGAACTCACTGAGGCTTTTCCCTGTGGCAGGGCACATATGTGCTCACAGAACTCTGAGCTGAGCCACACAAGTGAACGGTTGTGTGGTGCTCTCGTGGGGTCATTGTGCTCACACACGTGCTCCCCAAAGCTTACACTTTCTGGCCCGATGACTGGCACATCTTCGTAGTTGCTGTGCTTACAGGGGTCACATTTCCTTCCTTTCACGCTCATAAGCATGGCCAGAGATTATCTGACTCCTGGGATCCCAAGACCCCAGAACTTCTGAGGGCACATGCAGTGCATGTAGGACGCTGGGGATTTGAACTGTTGGCCATATTTTGCAAGACTCGGTGCTCTTATGCCCCTGTGCATTTCCTTTGGGCTTATAACCCTTTTTAGAAAATGTTTGTAGAACTGTTTACCAGTACTGTCATTGGCAAATTTTAGGTAAAGGGGATTTTTTTAAATCAGTTGAGTAATAACATAAGGAGTTCACAGGCAAGAGAGAGTAGCATAATATAAAAATGGCTTAAATTATAAACTTGAAAATTAGCTTTAATTTTGTATGGGTGAGGTGCCAGGGATCAAAGCCAGGGTCTCGCTTATATAAGGCCAATGATCTTGACATTGAGCCATATCCCTAGCCCTTGAAAATCATTTTAAGTGACCAAAATCAAAATCTGATTCAGATACCTTTGATCTTAGTCCCCTCGGGACTCTATAAAATCAGGAACAAGTGTTTTTCAGTTAGCATTTCAATGATTATTAACTCAGGAAAATTGACTTTGGGAGACTGGTCTCTCCCAAGCAGTACTCAGGGACCGGCTCGCTGGTGGAGATACTGGGCCGGACTATGTGGGTCTGACATTTCAGTTCCTGGGGCCCATTGCAGTACAGGAAATGAAACTTTATGCAAGGCATGAGCCCCAGCTGTTTGAATTATCGCTCTCCAGCCCCCAAAATTAATTTTTACAACAGACTGAGTTATATTTTACAGGCCATAATTCATCCTTTTAAACCATACCTCAGTAGATTAGTGTAGTTTTTAAGGATGCAAAGTAAAAACTACATAGCTTTATTATTAATACTTTCAAGTATCACAGAAGGATGTTACTCAGACAAAATTAGTGTCCACTTGAGCATTATGTCAGTGTAAAGCAGATCCCATCTAGTAAATGGCAAGCTTTTTATTTTTTTTAATCCTATCAGTTACCAATTTGAAGGAAAGCTTCTAAGATAATTCTTAGTCTTCATTAATTGATCTTTTAGTAAAACACCCTTGATGAGCAGTATTAAGGAAAAAAACTGGGACCAGAGTGATGGTACAGCAGGTAGGGTGCTTGCCTTGTCCGCGGCTAATCCGGGTTCTGTCCTCGACATCCCGTATGGTACCCCTAGCACCGCCAGCAATGATTCTTGAGTGCTGAGCCAGGAGTAACACCTAAGCATCACTGTGTGTGCCCCCCTCACCAAAAAAAAAGAAGAAGAAGAAGAACAAAAGCTGAGTAGATAAATCCCCTCAGTAATTCCACAAAATATTTCCACAAAAAGTTTCAGACTTTAACTTTCTTTTATGTTGAACCTTAAATATATTTGGAAGAGTTTTAAAAATTAGAACTAACCCTGGATCCCAGTTTAACTTCTTCAGTTCCACATGTTCAGTGAAGAAATTAAACACACCAGCCCCAAGATCCTTTCAGTTTCAGTGTCCTATCCTCTCACAAAGCGTGTATCATCAGAATTCATGCTTTTTCACTTCCTTAAAGTAAAAATGTGAGGGCTTTAACCTTTAGGGGGAAATAGTTCATAATTATTTATGGCCCCCTTTTTTTTTTGGGAAAATTGAATGTCTACAATGACCACAGTAAGATCAGCGCAAAGAGATTTTGGGGTTTTTTTTTTTTTTTTTTTTTTTTTTTCTGGAGCCTCACCTGGCTGGGCTCAGGGCTTATTCCCGGCTCTGTGCTCAGGGATCACTCCTGGCAGTGAATCAGGGTTGGCTGCACATAGAGCAAGCACCTTACCCACTGTCTGTCTCTGCAGTTCCCAAAATAAGGGATTGATAATCACTTCACAACTGGCCACCGGAGTCCTTCAGCTCGTTATTTTTGTGCGGGTGCAGTAGGAAACAGCGTTGGGCCTAGGAATCAGCATACCTGGATTCTATTTATAGGTTTGCCACTGACTTTGAACATCTGTTCACAGTAAGCAGCTGAACTAGATTAGATTGGTCTCTCAAATCCTTTCTGGCGCATACTAGAACTGTAATTCTCCTGTTGCTTTGAGTCCTCTTAGGCTCAGTTAGCAGCTGCGTCTGCCACTCTGGCGCCTTGCATTGGAGCTTTGCCATTGCTCGCTGTAGCCCAAAACCCAGAGAGAGTCAACACCAACAGTGCTTCTCTTCAGCTGACAGCAGCAAGCAGCTTCAAGAGTTGGACTGATATAAACGTGTTTTTTCCTAATGTCTTCATTCTTCTAAGCACTTACAAATGGTGCCTACTCCTGTCAAGAAAAAGATTTTCCCGAGGCTAAACTCAGAGAGAGTCAGGAGTTAAGGGAGACTCGTCCTGGACCATAGCCAGATGCATGGACAGTGATGGTTGGAAGAAGCTCAGGAACTGGGGGTCATGTCACTCACTGGTTAGTTCACATGGTCCTGTGCCACTGAAAAGGAAGGGCAGGGTTTGGTTTTGTTCTTTCCTGGTACATTTTTGGGCTTTTAGCCATAAAAAAAATTTTGTGCCCTTTTCAGAAAATGAGAAACTGTTAACTCAAATAACTTAGCAGTTCCAGGTTACTACTACTGTCTCCTTAGCACTTACCGTTTTTGCATTAGTTTACAATTAGCACTTACAGTTTAGAGAGGTAATACGCTTGGAACATAGTATGCATCCACTGTTTAGTGGAGCTAACATACTTCTGGTGCCTTGGAGTAAAGGCCATACTCTTGATATTAGCATGTATCCCATGTAGCCCATTCCTTGATATCCCATGTAGCCCATTCCTTGATACTCTTGATATTAGCATGTATCCCATGTAGCCCATTCCTGATCTACAGAACCGCACAGTGTTCGAGAGTCTTATCTTTTCAGTTGTTCATTTCTATAGGCAAAGGCAAATTTCAAGAAAAATAGTAATATCTCTCGGCTCAAATGATACTTGGGGATGGGGTTGGCCTCTAGAGCCTCCCAGCCCTGGCGGTGCTCAGGAACTATTCCCAGTTCTGTAGTCTGGAGATCCTGTGGTGCGAGAGATCAAACCAGGACTCCCTGCCTGCAAAGCATATGCTCAGCCTGTTGGGCCCCTGATACATACATTTTAATAAAACATCATCATCTTAAGCATCAGTTCATTAGAATATGATTAATATTTGTACCAGATTTCACCAGTATGCTAGATTGAATTGTTTAAACTATCTCATAAATCCAAGATTAAAATGCCGGTTTGCCTTAATTATTTATCCAAAGGATAAAATAAAGAATGGAGATGCCAGTGATTAATTTTTAGGAATTGAACATTTAAATACGACCTTTCGGCGCTGAATCGGGGTTGGCTGCACGTAGAACAAGCCATGCGGAATGAACGAACGTTTCTCTTGCCAGTCTAACTTTGCTTTGTTTCTTTTCAAACTCTTCAACTTTGTAGATACGGCATTCGTCCTGAAAATGTGATTATATATGGCCAGAGCATAGGGACTGTCCCATCTGTGGATCTTGCTGCTCGATACGAGAGCGCCGCTGTCATTCTTCATTCTCCTTTGACCTCAGGAATGCGCGTCGCTTTTCCTGATACCAAGAAGACGTACTGTTTTGATGCATTCCCAAAGTAAGTGTCGAATGCGAAATAAGCCTAAGGAATTTCGAATGACTTCTTTTAATTATCTCAGTCATGAGCTACTGGGGGGTCAAGGGATGGTCACACCCAGCAGCGTTCAGGACTTACTCCTGGCTCTGCATTCAGGGATCTTTCCTGGAGGGGGAGTTCAGGGGATCATATGGGGTGCTCGGGATCGAACCCAGGTCAACCCTGCACAAGGCAGACACCCTGTCCACTGTAATATCTTTGTGGCCGCTCTCAGTCACAAGCTCAGATATCAAAGGACCTCAGGATATCATGGTTTTTGTATTGGAGATGAGGTAAATATTTGGGAGATAACTGACAACTGAGCATCAGATCAAGTATGGGATGCTGATCAGAGAACTTGTGTGTAATTTATCATTGTCACTTGAGTTGCCGATGGATATTGCTGCAGTTCCCTGAGCTGCATATAATTAGTAGTGGTTCGTAGGAACAGTCAGAGGGAAAATTTTAAAGTGTGCATAAAAATGAATGAATTAAATATAAGGATATCTAAGTTAGAAGTTGTCTTAAATTAGAATAATTATTGCTGCTGCCAAGTGCAGATATGTAGTATTAGACAAATTTGAAAGGCTACTTATCCCATCCTCAAGATAATTTGTTAGTATACCTACCTACTGCTGTCATTGTTGGGGAAAATTATTTCTTTATTTTGGGCGGGACTCCCAAGCAGTGCTCAGAAGACCCTAGCAATTCTCAGCTATCAGACCTGTGGTGCCTGTGTTTATCCAGGCAACATCCAGTAGTGCTGAGGGCACCCAGGATTTATTCCTCCTGCCCCTTGGATGATAAAAGCCTGACTGCCAACATTCTGGGGAAACGGTTTCAAAAACCAGTGTGTATGTGTTTCCTTGTCACTTCCTATGTCACTCTGCCCTAAACTGTATGTGGCAAGAGCCTAGTTCAACAAACCCTCCAAGCCTGGGGTGACAGCGATTATCCATCAACATAAAGGAGAAATTCTTAGGGAAGAAGGTCATAGCTTTCTTAAATAGCCTTTTTGCTTGCTTGCTTGCTTGCTTGCTTGCTTGCTTGCTTGCTTGCTTTTTAAAATGTTAGGAAGGGGGTCAATCCCAGTCCCTCACCAGAGTGAGGAATGTGCTCCCTTACTGGGCCTTATTGCCTTCTATACTCTTAAAATCGTGAAATTCTCACATACTTTTTTTTTTCCTCTCTTACACATTTACATGTAACTGCCTTCTGGTCCCCAGAACATAGCAGAAAGGTGAAGTAAGATGATGAGTTGTTCCCTCACAAAGGAAGTCCATGAAGTTTATATCCTCAGATCCTCTTAGAGCAGGGAATACTCAGAATTGTAAATTTTTTGCATCTTATTTAACATAATCTAGTTCGGCCCTGAGATTTTCTCAGCCTCTCCTTGCTCATCCTTCTTAACGCTGCTGTATTTATTGGGGGCTCTTTCAGGGTCAGGAGGAATGAGGCTCATTGTTTTTACTGTTTGGGGCATATCGAATCCGCCAGGCTTTATAACCTGAGGAGGCGGCACCCGTCCCCTCAGAATTGACTCACAATTATTTCAGCGACTGGCCAGATACAGCACAAGAAAACCGTTAGACGTTCCTTTGCAGAGTTAATTTATTGATTTCCCCCCTCTCTTCTTTTTCCCTACAGTATTGACAAAATCTCTAAGATAACCTCGCCAGTATTAATAATTCATGGGACTGAAGATGAAGTCATTGACTTTTCACATGGCCTCGCCTTATTTGAGCGGTGCCAAAGACCTGTGGAACCCCTGTGGGTTGAAGGGGCAGGTCACAATGATGTGGAACTTTATGGACAATACCTTGAAAGGTTGAAACAGTTTGTGTCACAGGAACTGGTAAATTTGTAAAATAGTCTGTAAATTTGCGCACTGGGTTTATTTTTTCTTGCTGAACTGCACTCTGGTAAAGAGTATAAAACCTGAAGGTTTTGTTTGCAAATCATGTCAGTTGCCTTCATAAATGTACAGGTAATGATTTGTTAACAGACTTAATGAAGGTTTTAATTACCAGAACTAGAAACTGGAAGTAACAGTATCATGCAGTCAAGCTGTATAATTTATATTTTTTCTGTGAATTTTTTTTTAACATCAAGATGAGTACTGTATAAAATTTTAATTACAAAATCAAATGCTGTAAAAGTATTGCCAAATGCTTTTGCCTATCAGAAACAAATTTATAAATATTTTTAAAACATCTCAATGTACTAAATCTTATCCTGGTATTCAAATGTTAATATTCTTTCAAGAAAATGCTGTATATCTAAAATAATTCAAGTACTCATACTAGAATAATCTGTATAAAACAGTTGAGTTCACTAGAGATGACCTAAGCCCTGTTGTATAGGGATAGAGGTTTAAACGGTTATTTTATTGTAAAATACCTTGAATTTTCTGTATTCCCTGGCTACCGGACATTTTATCCCTTTAAAAAAAAATGATGTAAAGTCTTAATTTTTATGCCATCTGTTAATTTACCATCTAGTTACCTTGTAAATGAAAAGTCATGATAGCGGTGAATTTTAACTAGTTTTAATTTATAAGGTTTGGTACTATAAGGCAACTTCTTAAATTTTTTATTTTAGTTAAACGGAATTTAGAGCTTCAAGAATGATTTTGTATGTGATGTTTTAAATTTTGACTAATCTTATAGAATGGCAGTCCTCTTCATTATAAGATAACTTGAAAGTCCCATTAGATGTTCTTCAAGACCACAAACAGACTAGCTCTTTTGTCCCTTTTCATGTCGGCTATTTTTAAGAATAGAATCATTTGTTCTGGATTACTATCAGAATTTCATGGGTTCACTCCTGTATGCAGGAGGTAAGAAAACACTTAATAATTCATAACTTTTATATTAACCAATGTAGTAAAAAAAAATTAAGCTCACACAAAAATTAAGTTGCCTTTCCTTGAATGAATCCTGCTTGAATAAAACAATGAAAGAAAAAATTAACGGTATGTAGTCTAATTTGTAAATGAATGAATATTGAAATAATACACACTGTGGATATATTTTAAGGCCTTATGTAGTTTTAATTGTTCTGCTTGTTCTGTGGTTATGTCTTAAGATTATAGTATATGATTCTCTTCAAAGTATATCAAGTATTGTGAATGCTTTGGTTCAGATGTGTCAAATTAACAGTAAAACAAAAAAAAATACCACGCAGCTGTGCCTATTTGCCTTTTTTTCCATGCTCCTGACTCAGTATTATAAAGAGTGGGGGGGAAAATAACTATATTTCGTAAATTGCAGTTCTGTAGTTTTCTAAACTTTACCACATTTCTTTCATGGAGATTTTTTTTTAATAATTTATTTATTTATTGAATCACTGTGGGAAAAGTTACAGAGCTTTCGGGTTTAGGTCTCAGTCATGTAAGTATCAAACACATTTCCCTTTACCAATACTTATTTTTAACCGCGAACCCCAATAGAACCCCACCTCCCACCCCTCCCAATTCCTGTGAGGCAGATGAATTCTAGTTAATACTCTATCTACTTTGACTAGATACATTGTTTCGATAGAAGATGCACAATTATGGTTTAGAGTTTACGACCCACCCCCCACAATCAGAAAAATATGGAACGCTTCACAAATTTGCGTGTCATCCTTGCGCAGGGGCCATGCTAATCTTCTCTGTATCGTTCCAATTTTAGTATATGTGCTGCCGAAGCGAGCACTCGTGGAGATTTTTTTTTTCTTTTCACAATTGTCTTTGAGTCCCATCAATGCTTCAAAACTTCTTTGTAAATGTACAACCCAGAATTGACTTAAGTATTTTCATTGATTATCTGTGAAAATTGCAGTGTATATCATGCTGCTCTAGCGTTCATTCATTTAACAAATATGTATCTAGATCATGCAAAACCCTGTGCCAGATAAACATAAGTGGAAATCATGTCTTCATTACCTTTACAATCTATCTGAGGAGACGTACAGCTTATTGTGTATTACTGTTTGGACCAAGACTTGAAGGGTTATTACGACAGGTTAAGGTACTCTTGGAAGGGATTCCATGAGAAGAAGATTGGTGAGTCCCACAAAGAAACAGTATTTGAGCTAAACTTTGTTTTATATTTTTGTGAACTTTTCTGCATTTGTTCTGTTTTGGTGTGTGTGTGTGTGTGTGTGTGTGTGTGTGTGTGTGTGTGTGTGTGTGTGTTTTCCCCCCGCCCCCACCAGGGGAGAGCAGGCTGATGGCAGGGGGTTGGGCCATATCCTGTGATGCTCAGGGATCAATACTGAGTATTTGAGGGAGGATCACATAGTGCAGGGAATCAGGACCAAGCCGCCTGCATATAAAGCCTGCACTAGTCTGTTGAGCCTGAGTTTAAAATAGTGAAGAAATGATTCAAGTCGGGTTACCCAGGGGAAGCATTCCTGGCTCTGAGAATACCAATATGTGGAAACTTAGAGGGAGGATGGGACATTTGAAACAGAAGACCGGGCCAGAGGTTGAAAGGAAAGGAGGCCATAGGGTGACTGAGACTGGCAAGCTGGTTTGGGACAGAGCCATGGATCCTGATCCTTATTCTACAAACATGGAAAACTATCTGAAACTCCATTTATCAAGAGTTTCTAGAAGAAAAATATTTGGAGATGTTAGCCTGCTAGGAATGATGTGTGCTAACAACTCTTTAAAACTAATGTCTTAGGGTGCTAAAAAATCATGGGGAAATGATCTCATTATGCCAAGTGCTGGTCAAACCACACCTGCAACATTTACTTTCAGATCACCGTGAAAGGAACTCCACAAAGCAAAGTCTGGAGGGGTTACTAAGTTGGATGAGTTCCATTTTCTGATACCTGCCTTCAGTATTTAAGTGTCATTTTTACTTGACTCTTTTTGTCTCTCAAAGCAGAACTAGGTGGATGGAAGTTGTAAAAAGGCAGTGTTTAGTGTTCACTGTGTCACTGTCATCCTGTTGTTCATCGATTTCCTTGAGCAGGCACCAGTAATGTCTCCATTTGTCCTAGCCCTGAGATTTTAGCAAGTGCCACATTGGAGGCTCCTTCAGGGTCAGGTCATTGTTAGTGGGTTTTAGCATATCGAATACGCCATGGGTAGCTTGCCCGACTCTGCCGTGCAGACAGGTTACACTCGGTCACCTGTCGGGTTCTCCAACAGTGAGAACTAGACAATAAGAGGTCTAGTCAACCCGCCCCCCTCCAAGGGGCCCCGGTGAGGACAGCCAGGCGCAGGGGCAAGAGACTTTTGGGAGCTGGGTTTTATAGTCCCTGGGTCTTGGCCATTAATGGAATAACACGGTGCCAGGGGCAATTGGTGGGTGTAATGCCTAGCTACTGGAAGATGGGGGATCTGGGTGGAGAAGGCCCAGTCCAGATCTGAGCAGGCTTGGAGATCTCAGCCCCCGGTCCCGCACACCTGGATTCCTTTGCCGGTTCCTTCATGCGTGAGGCTTGTCCGAACGTGTGGAGAATGGTCTTAAGCATGGCTGTGGCTGGTTCCGGAGGTCTTCAGCTGCCGGGGCTCTGCTCAGGGTGGGGAAGGAAACTTAACCCGCCCCCCTCCAAGGGGCCCTAGTGAGGACAGCCAGGGATGGGGGCAGGAGACTCAGTGCTTTAAAAAAAAAAAAAAGCTATTGGGAATTTGTGGGGTTTTTTTAAAATTTTTTTTATTTTATAAGTTACTTCACAATATTTGATTACATTCTCTATTCAAACACCAGTCCCACCACCATTACACCTTCTTCCCACCACCAAATTGGGGATGTTTGCATCCAAGCCTTGTCCCAAAACACAAACTCAAGAATATATTTTGTGTTTTTGTTATAAAGAATTGCTGAACATGCTTACCAAAAAGTGTTCATATAGAAAACAGTGTGAAATTGTTCTATTTTCGCAGGAGCCATTAAGACGTTCTATACAGTATCACTAACATGTTGTTATGGTTTGGGTGATGTGAGCTTTGGTGTATGTGTCTGAAAATAGGTATAGATGCATATATATTTTTTTTCCTCTATTATTTGTTGCCTACTGTCTGAACCCCATCAAATATGATGTGGTAATTATGGAAAATGGTTAAGGAGTGTCTTATGATGTGCCCAGGAATATGTTCACTCCTACGTGAGGCTCGGCTCAAGTGTGTGGAAAGCGGCCTGGAGCGTGGTGGCAGTTGGGTTGTGGAGGTCTGCTGCCGGGGCTTGGGTCCCTTGGGGCGGGGATGGCTCTCACCCACCCCCCTCTGAGGTGCCCCGAGTGAAAACAGCCAGGTGTGGAGTCCAGTGGCATGGTTTTATGCTCCCTTATGGGAGCAGCAGCTGTGAGTTCTGGAGGGTGGCCTCTGAGGAGATTTTCTGGTGCTGGCAGGAGGTGGCTTATGGGTGTGATCCCTGTGTCGCCAGAGACTGGGGAAAACAGGCAGAGGATCTCTGTTCCTGGGTTCCTTTGAGCGCAGAGTCCAAGATCATACAGTTTCGCATCACCTGAGTTCTGTGGGACGTCACTCATGCGTGAGGCTCGGCCCGACCGTGTGGAAAGCAGCGTGGAGCATGGCAGCGGTTGGGTTGTGGAGTTCAGCTGCCAGGGCTGGGTCCCTTGGGGCGGGGAGGGTTCTCATCTGCCCCGCTATTGGGAATTTGTTTATCAAAGAAAGGAATGATAATTATATTTTTCACACATGCTACTGAAAAACATGCAGATTTAAATGAGAAGTTAAACTCTGTTAGCGCTGTATAAGGGCCCTTTAAGATCTTGTACAATTCTTTCTTTTTAATTTTTATTAGTGAAACACCATAAGGTTTGTACAGTTCTTCTTGGGACTGCATTTCGATAATAAAAATGCTGACTGGAAGCAATCTCGAACATTCTCATATTCTTACTTAGACCATTATGAAGTTGAATAATAGGGTTGGGAATTGTTTTAATATGTCATTCAGATTTTGTCAAAAACAAACTCTTCTGAACTGTGGGGCAGGGAGTTAGCAAAAAAGGCCTGGAGCACATGGTTTGCATGTGGAAGCCCAGGTTCCATCCCTGGCACTGTATGATCTCTGGTACACCGCCAGGAACAATTCTCAGCTCCAAACTAGAAGTAGCCCTTAGCACTACCAACCATACCCAAAACAAAACTTGCAGTCTTCTCTCAGATTTTAGGACTCTATCAGTCTTCCAAAATCAGTCTTATTTTTTTTCTATCATTGACGTTCCAATTCTTCATTGGCTTTTATTTATTGATTTGTTTGGAAGGGGGTTGGGTCAGAGGGGTTGGGTCAAGGTGGTGCTCTGGGGCTCCTCTTGGCTCTGTCTTGAGGGTATCCTGGTGGTGTTCAGGGCACCACACAGGAAACTGGGGTTGGCCGTATGCAAGGCAAGCATGCATGTGTACAATCTCTCTTCCCCTTCCATCTTTAATCTACTTAATGAATTCTTTGGAGCGATAGCACAGCGGTAGGGCGTTTACCTTGCGTGCAGCCAGCCCGGCTGAGCCAGGTTCAATTCCTCTACCTCTCTCGGAGAGCCTGGCAAGCCACCGAGAGTATCTCGCCCTCACAGCAAAGCCTGGCAAGCTCCCCGTGACGTATTCAGTATGCCAAACACAGTAACAAGTCTCACGATGGAGATGTTACTGGGCCCGCTCGAACAAATCGATGAACAACGGGAGGACCGTGACCGTGAATGAATTCTTTGAAACAAAAATACATATGGTTGTCCCCAAAGATCAGTGCATCAGCGGCATAAAGCCTTGCTAGATAACTCAGTCCAAAGTAGAGAAAGACAAGACAGGTGATTTTTCAGTAGGTTACTTTCCAAGGATAAATTTTCAACCAATCATCTGCAACTCCCTCCCTCTCTCTCTGCCCACCTCTCTCCCCACCTCGGTGTGTGTGTGTGTGTGTGTGTGCGTGTGTGTGTGTGTGTGTGTGTGTGTGTGTTTCTCTTTTTGAGAAGAACTCTTTGAATTCTAATAAACACATTATAGAACTAGATTTTATAGGATAAATTAAAATGAACAACATGACTGCATGAGGTGCTGGGCATTGCTTAGTGATGCGTTCTGGGAATGGATAGAGAAGCCATGACTTGGAGCATTCACTGATGCCCATAGTATTCCTGTTGTCAATTTTTAGCTCCCAACAGTTTTAAAAGTGCCTGGCAAGATTCCTGAAAATGTAACAATCGCCTCTCACA